TATCTAGACCCACAGCGTGTAGCTCAGACCACGCTTCAATATTGAGCATAAATCGAAAATGTCTGCGTCAAGCTCACTGCAACACACTGCTGTAAGAGTATAACCAGGAAACGAGGTAGGAGGGCAAAATAGGTTTAGCGCCACCGCAGCGCGGGAGGGAGAATTACGTCCAGGAGCAAATGGATAAAAATAGACCGGAGGAAAAAAAAAACATGAATCGATACTCATGCGGACGTATCGATGAATCGGATCGTCGGCTGTTGGATCGATGCATCGATACAAAACAATTATTATTTACACGCCTACCTCACTAGCCTCTTTGTACAGATGTTTTATATCTAAAGGAAATATATGTCAGGACATTACAACTTTTTATATGCTCTTTTGTACTATATACACTCTTTATATATTATTTGTTGTATTTTTATCTTTAATAGCATCTTGCCTTAACTCTGCCCTTTATGCTCTATAAAAGCTACTGGAACCAGAATTTCCCTGAAGGAGTAATCTTAAGGAATAAATAAAGTGGAGTTTCGGTAGATTTGTGTATTGCCAAAAATAGCGACTTTGCTATATTCAGGTTTTAACACAACAGTACAGAATTCAGCTGTATTTAGGTCTAAATAAGTTATTCCAACATATTTTTTGTGTAATATTGTCACATTTGTGCAGTTCTTTCCCTCTGCGGGACGCCATTTCTCCTCTTTGAATAAGTTTGCAAAGTATTCTGGGAATCCATTTCGCTCCTGACCTCACTCGATCATTTTAAGGGTTGGAGGGCACTTCGCCATAGCTCTTATAACTATTGGGACACACTAACCTTAAACGTGAATGAGCAAAACTGAGTGCAAGTGAGAGAAATGAGACTGGGCCTTAGTGTCTTAGGGCTCCTCCTGAATCATCTCTTTGTTATTTTGAATAAAGAGCAAAGAAAAAAATATAAAGCAGAAGGTTTTGGTCCAAAAAAGGCAGCAGAATTTCCCCGTCTGTCTCTCAACCGCAGCCCGGTGGTTCTGGTTGACTTTCTCTCTGCTCTGTGTTGTAGCTGGGGAAGATGCGCCTGACGGTCCCATGCAGAGCCGTGACCTGCTCTCATCTGCAGTGCTTTGATGCTGCCCTCTACCTGCAGATGAATGAGAAGAAACCCACCTGGATCTGCCCTGTCTGTGACAAAAAGGCTGCGTACGAGAATCTCATCATCGATGGGTTCGTTCAGAAAATATAGTCCATTAGTTTTTAGCTCTGTGAATCACTTTTTCACTTCAACTCATAGGATAAAAAACAGTCCCCTTTATCTTTAAACTGATTCC